GGGGACTACTTTCTCGTTTATACTGTATATCTTAAGCACACTTACTGAACCGCTCAATGATACAGTTTTCAAAAACTCTTCATGTCAAAGTTTCTTTAGAAAATCAAATAAATTTATTTTTAATCTTATAATAGTTAATACTCAATTAATTATACCCTAATCACTCACTTCGTTTTATGTGTAGCTTATAATAAGCTCACCCCGGCCTATCCTCCCTATCGAACGGGGGCCTTATATAGTTTAAAAACATAAAAGATGCATGGTACATGTATATTTATCTTGAAAAACTACACACTTTTTAATTGTACAAATTTATTACTTCATGAAGATATATATTCTGATATAAAACTGTGATCAAACATGTATATATATATATATATATATATATATATATATATATATATATATATATATATATCAATGAGCTGTACTCCGTATCTCTCAAAGAGTGAATTAAGCGCCACATTACAGTGTATGGTTGGCACAAACGACATGTACACTGTCGCATTGCATACACATTAATTGTACATATACATTACCTGTACCTAGTCTCATCACGTATATATGCACGCGTATTGCGTGTGTATGCGTACACTGTACACGCTGTACATGCATGCAAGAGCAAAAGAGCCAAGAGGTCTCGAGAGGCCAGGGGGGACGGCATGCATGAATCAAGCAGCGAAGTCGTCCAAAGGAGACTTAAAGGCTGCGTTTAATTTACACCAAAATTAAAAGTTTGGTAAAAATTAGAATGATATGACGGAAAAGTTAGAAATTTATGTGTGTAGAAAAGTTTTAATATGTGATAAAAAAGTTGAAAGTTTAAAGAATTATTTTAGAACTAAAAGAGTTTAGCATATGGAACTGTGCAAGAGAGGGCCGGGCCACGCAGGGGGAGGCAGATGTACGTGCGACTGACGTGTCGCCTCTTGTCCTACTACCCTTGTCGCGCGCTCGTGCCCGTGTCGCGTCGCCTGGGTCCCCTCGCTCGTCCCGCCCGGCCGCCTGGTGAGAAACTGATGAGAAGTGAGGCTTTCCCACATAAAAATTTTACAACATTTGAACACCTGTATAAAGTATTAAATATATACTAAAAATAATTAATTATATAGATTGTGATTAATTTGATAACGTGGCGCTACAGTAAACATTTGCCAATAACGGATTAATTAGGTTTAATAAATTCGTCTCGCGGTTTACTGACGGATTCTGTAAATAATTTTTTTATTAGTGCCCAAACACTTCATGCGACACTTTATATAATATCTAATGTGATACGCTAAAACTTTATACATGTGAATCTAACACCCCTGGGAAGCCGATATCAAGGGGGGTCGAGGGGGGAGGGAGGCAAGTGCACGGAACAGGAGCGAACCAGGTAGAGATCATCATCGCCAGATCAGATCAGATCGATGCATGCATGCGTGTGATTGGTACTCGATCCACTCATATGTAGCAGTAGGCCGAGAGGCCAGGGTGACGTGCGAAGCAGCAGCAGCAGCAGCAGCAGCTGTAACTGATTGATGATGAGTCGTGATTGATGGATTAGCGCCGGCCGGCCGGCCTGATCATATCGATCGATCCCCCACAAGAAGCATTCGGCTCTGATGCATGGTTCACGTATATATGTTGAGCGAAGAGACTTTACTTTGGCGTGGACCAGAAGAGACTTGGCGTGTACCAGATGGTCCACGGATGACGCATTATTGCCTTGTTGGAGTGTAAAACAGGGGGATCAGCCACGTACTAGTGTGGTGGAGCCGGATGAGAACGGAGATAGCTGATCCATCTACTAGTGTTGGTTTTGTCCACAGCTGTTTCTTTACACAAGTCATAGTATGTTTCTAGCTACTTGCTAGTTGCACATCATCACAAGTTAAAACGAAAGTTGTGCTCCATGAAGATGTAGTATAGTATTAACATCAATGCTCCTTTAAAAGCACATTCTTCATCCTCCTATTCCTTTCTCACCATGGAGGTCGCGTAACCATTATAGTATCCAGCACTTTCTTCTTAATTCACTCACCCAACAATCCCAGTTATATAAGGCTTAGCTCCTGCCTTATCCTCAATCTAACATCCTAGTCAACTTTTAGTTATATAGATCTGACACGTTGCAGAGTATGGATACATTACTAGTTTAATTACAAACATGTGTTAATTGACAGCTACTAGGGAAATCTAACAATCTAAAATTGGATCTGACATACTACAATGAATCTGTACAGAAAGCTGTCTATATTCGTTATACAGCTAGATAGTGTAATATCCAATGCTACAATGACTTATTGTAGGGCAAAGGGAGTATATGATTTTGTCCTTTTTTTTCAACCTACAATAGCGTTGCGTTTCATTTATTATGCATGGTCGATTTACTGTTTCAGCATGCACGGGTAGCTCCCCGTCGAGGAAAAAGGCCGTGCACGGAAAAAAGAAACATATGCTACTGGAGTACTGGTCCTGGTGTACGTACTATATATAGCAGTAGATCGATGCATGAGCAGCACGATCGGGCGCGTCGGCGCTCTCTTGATCGGGACCATGGCCGGCCATATATTCGATCGCTTTGATCCATAATCCATTGTTGTTCATGCATGCATGCATGTGCATGCAATGGACTCGCCTGCGTACGTACGCCGCGTGCAGGGGCTCGATTCGCTGTACCCAACGTTCCGTGCATGCACAATCGCACATGCACCTGATGATGCACGCATCCTAATTGCTACCTTTAAGTTAACCTCACCTGAACAGGGAAACGATTTGGCCTTTTCCCTCAATTAGTAATATGTTCTTGCTTTACAACGAGTCAGACCTATATAATACTTCCTCTGTTTCGCAATGTAAGTCATTCTAGTATTTCCTATATTCATATTGATGATTTATTAATATCAATATGAATGTGAAAAATGCTAGAATGACTTACATTGTGAAACGGAGGGAGTAATTGATTGACTAGGTGGGTGGATGAACTGAGAACAAGAACAGGATTCTACGATGGTTACGTACACACAAAAGGAGCCGACCACCTCCTGCCTTTGTCAGTAAAACTGTGCTTTTATAATTAGTAGAGATATATGAGAATATGAGCATGTTCAGATTATAGCCAAAATAAACCTTACCAAATTTTGGCAGGATTTCTTATGTATTGATCAAATTTAGCAACAAACTAAACGGTAACATTTTTTTGACAACTTTGCAAAAAAAAAGAAGGTATGGTCGAAAATGACATCAAAGTGAACCTGCCCTATATGTGATACAAACTATATATGTAATGCTAAACTATCATTGGATTAAAATAGGTGTCTAAGGCTGTTCACATCAGTAAAACTTTTACTACTATATTAAATTATTAGTAAAAATTTTACAGGCAGTACATGGATAAATATGAGACGTCTATTTTTTAACCAACGGTAATTTTCACATTTTCTATAGTCGTGATTTACGCTACATATTTTCTTGCAATATGGGCCGGCCCATGTGGGGATAAACGTTGGGGGGCACACACGGCAGGAGTGACTCAACCGCAGGCCGACCAACATGCAGTTTTCGGCCAATTGGGCCGGCCCAGACGATTCGGCCTGTCCATTGGCAAAACCCTAGAGTGCGTCGAGTCCGCGCAGCCAGCCGCCGCCTGCGCTAGCTGCGCCGATCGATCTCTCTCCGTCCGGCGATCTGCTACCGCCGCCGGCCGGAATTATTTCCGGCGACGATGAACCGCCGGTTTCTTCACGTGTTGGTCAAAAGCTTCGGCAACCATCCCTGCCCCTACTCGCTGCACAGCATCAACGCCTCGAGCTTCCTTTCTATCCATCGTCGTCAAGACCGATCAATGGATCATCAGGAGATCAAGGTACGAAGAAAATGGAGGAAAACCACCTGCCTGATCGCACCGTGTCCTTCCATTATCCCAGCTACCAGCGTTCTTACAGTGGAGGCAGTTGCGGCGATAGCTGCACTGCCTCAACAGTATAAGCAGTGTGACTTCTGCTGCTGTTACTATATATACAGCCAAAGCTTTTCTTCCCAACAGGCCTAAAAGGCTAAAATGAAATGCAGCGTCCTCCTGTATTTTTGAGGGAAAAAATCTCTTGTTAGATGCAAACGCTTTTTTTTCCATTATTGTTGTTTTCTCGTATGAAACTATGAACCGTTGGAAATTTTCTTCACTTACACAGCCGGTGAGACCCATTAGTTTGTTCTACACACAGAGGAAGTCACATGCCTAGCAAAGTTCCATAAATATTTGGTGCAACTCCTGCAACGGAAATCATTATCTTCCATAAGTTGGGTAGCCATTGTTGTGGGCTCGCGCCATGCATAGTCGTCCAAACCGCAGTACTGCGGTACCATTCTTTAGGTTGAGAAAGAGGAAAGGGTTGTCACTTACATGTGGACAAACTATTTTAATCTCTCGAGAGAATATCCCCTCATTTTTTTGTCACTCAAATGATTATTAAAAAAATTTAAAAAAAATTGAGAAGGTGTATTAACATGTGATATAACACTCCACAAACATGTAAGTTCAAATTCAACTTCTACATCTCGTAAAAAAAATGAATTAAACCGTACATAGTTAACGTATATTCAGAGTCAAATTTGTTTTTTCGTTGCGAGATGTAGAAGTTGAATTTTTTACTTACATGTTTATGGAGTGATATATCGCATGTTAATACATCTTCTCAAATTTTTTCATATTTTTTCATAACCATTTGAGTGACATACAAGCAACGAGGGGATATCCTCTAGAGGGATCAAAATCCACTTCCATGCATGTGGGTGCCACTTTTTTTAAAAAAAAATTGTTTTTAACTATAATTTTTCATGTAAGTGCCATGCAAGCGTCATCTAGGATGAAGAGCAAGTGAACATATCATGTAGACATCATATCAGCTAAAACCGTTTTAAAAAAGAGTCAAGGATGTCAATACCCGGTTTTAATAGTTAAAAGAGTCTTTTGTGATGGAGGGACGCGAATCAAAACTCGGTCCATAGCTAAGGGATGCGAAATGGACCTTTTCCTTCTTGTGATCCAGTTTTATAAATTGAGAGACCTAAAGTGAACTTATTCCACCCAACCGTCCTTTGGTATTGGGCCGAGCTGGATGAGTCGGCCTGTCTTTTTGGCAAAGTCGCAAGTGTACTGTACTACAAGTCTACAACAATGGGAGACGTTGGTAGTACTTCATCATACTCACGCCAGTACGCCACGATCTACCGGGGATGACCACAATATCGAACCATTGTACACTGCATGGTGCATATGCTTCTGAGAGGCTGAGACAGATGGACTTATTACTGGCGCTAGCTTAGCCTTATCCCAAGTCGTCAACGACTCAATCTCCTATCTACATCGCCACGTACGCATACGATACGAGTAGCTACAGCAAATTAATTAAGCTAATTAATTACACTGACATGCACGTCCACGTCGCTGTCTGAAGAACCATCGATCGATCGCACGGTCAGAACTGCCCGGCGCCGAGCGGGCACGGGTCCGTCGACGTCGTCGTCGTCGATCGATCGCCGGCGTACGACGGCGGCGGCGGCACGCCGGCTTCGAGGTCCTTAATGCAGGCTGAGTCGGGGTGGATGTCGGCGGCGGTGGTGGCGTTCTTGTCGCGCTGCTGCTGCTGCTGCTCGTGGATCTCGGCGATGGGCTTGAGCTTGCGCTCGGTGATGGCGATGGAGATGTCGTTGGGGAAGAGGTCGCGGTGGACGGCGGCGTGCAGCAGCGTGGTGAGGAACAGCGCCGTGACCGTGAGCGTCGCCAGCACGGACAGCGCGATGCAGAGCGACTGCGTGAACGCGTTCTTCACCTCCGACGAGTACCGGATCGACGCGATCGCCGCGCTCGTCATCGGGAACGTGTACGCCCACCACGCCAGCGAGAACCTGAACCCCCTGAACAGGTTGATCCTCACCGCCTGCACAAGCACACCCAACATCGATCGCATCAGCTGCTCGCTGCAATGGCGCGCGGCGTAGAAAGCTAGCTAGGCAGTGTCAGTGTGCGCGTGCGTACGTAGCGTACCAGCGAGGCGTAGAGGAACATGGCGATGAAGTAGGCGACGCGGGAGCCGTAGCCGAACTCGCCGGTGATCCTGGCCCAGGCGAGGCAGGCGACGCTGGGGGCGGCGACGAAGAGGAAGAAGACGGGGTGGAGGTCGCGCGGGAGCGTCTCGCTGGTGGGGAGCCGCTGGTACAGCGTGACGAACAGCACGATGTAGTGGGCGAGCCCGACGGCGAAGAAGAAGATGGGGCCCTCGCGGAGGCCCATGGTAGCGCCGAGCAGCGCGCCGACGAAGTTGCCGACGATGGACAGGTGGTTGGACGGGTTCGCCACCCTCGACAGCCGCCGCTGGCCACCGGAGATCCACTGCCCGTAGATCTTGAGCTCCAGGCACACGATCGGCGCCATGAGCAGGTACCACAGCCAGTGCGGGAGGCTCGCCGCCACCATCGGCGGCACGCCGATGGCGAGGAAGAGGCAGGCGATCCACGGCGCGAAGAAGAAGTTGACGCGCACCGGGTGGTAGTACTCCCGCCGGACGGCCTCGAAGTAGAAGGCGACCTTGCACGCGTACAGCGCCGACACGGCGCACATGAGCGCCACGGAGACGCACCAGAGCACGAGGTTGATCTTGACGGTGATGTGCAGGAACCTCGTCGACGTCGAGATGGCGATGTTCTTCCACAGGATCGCCTGGCTGCTCATGCCCATGCACATGCCGAACGCCGACACCGGGAACCGGAGCAGGAACGGCCACGTCTTGTCCGACGGCAGGACCAGCGCCTCCGACGACTGCCGACGACACGACACCAACACCACCACCACGGCGGCGCGTTGTGAGCGACTACGTACTAGGGTGCATGCCAACTGTTCGACCAATGCGAGACGACAGGGAGAGGGTTGCTCATGGTGTACCCGTAGTTTGTCAAGCTCGGGGCCTTCCAGCGCCGCGAAGAAGCGCTGTACTCTCGGCATCGACGAGTACGACCGGCTGCTGCTCGCCGTCGTCGCCGCCGCCGCCGCCGCCGCCGCCGCGTCGTCGTCCTCGGGTTCCTCATCCTGCCGCCGCTGCTCTGGCTGTTGCTGCTGCTGCTGTTGCCGGCCGCCTCTCAGGTGGGTGGTGATCTGCTTCTCCAGCTTCCCTGACCACGTCTTGAACGAGTCGTAGCTCGTGTCCCTGCGCCCGCGCGCCTTGCCCGTCGTCGTCGCCGCCGCCGCCGCCGCGCGCGGCGCGCCATCGCGGCTCGTGCCGTCGTGCACCTGGGAGCTTCTGCTCTGCTGGGGCAGAGCGGCCGCGCCGCCGAGGACGGCGATCGGCTGTGAGCGGAAGATCATCCTGTCGGGCTGCGCGACGGCCATCATCGCCGGCCACCCGGGCAGCGGCAGCATGCACGGGGCGTCCGTCATGGCGTGACGCTGGAGCTCCACCCCGGACCTGGCGACGTCGAACCCGGTCGGCGACGCCGGCAGGCTGATGGACACCGGGCGAGCCGCGTGGAACGCCAGCGTGGTGTCCGGGGAGGACGCCATGGCGGTGAGCAGGTCGCCGCCGTGCCGCTCCTACACCGGCACGCGACTGTTCATACTCGTGCTCCGATCAGGTGATCTGCGTTAACCATGAAGACGGCCCGAAACTTACCATGAAGATTGGCTCCTTGGCAGAGCGGCTCGCCGGGATGTGAACATCTCCGGCGACCGGCCGCGGCGGTACACCGGATTCGTCAGCTTCCATCAACCTCGGGAAACCTGCAACACATGTAAACCATCATCATCATAAGAAGAAGAAGAATCAAGAATGGATAGTTGAGATCACATTGTTTTAGTGTCCAAGAACAGATACAACTAATGATATTTCAGCCATGAGATGTGTCTTACGAGGGCACACTTTGCAATGCGGCTTAGGCAACGACATTGAGTTCACCGTGAGACCAAACCAAGCTTCGAACTTTCTGCTTGTCTTATCAGAATCAGAAGAAGATTCTGTCCGCTTATCTGAACTCTACACAAGTCTCGCCAATGTTTTCTGCTACTAGCTTGATCAGTGAGTGCATTTATACGGCAGCATTGAATGCAACTTCAAACCAGCAACAGTCGTATAACTCACGGGGCAGCTTGATTAGGCAGAGATTGCAATCAAATGCAGATGCATTCTGGGCCGTACAAATGTGTGGCGTTCGTGCAGGACATCAAAGCAAACCTTGGCACTTGTGGCACTCAAGTTTTGGTTCTGGGCTTCTGGCTGCAGGTTTAGCAATGTTAGGCAGGGAATTCCAGAGACATAAATGGCAGAATCTGTCCTGGATGGCTGGTAACCCTCGCAATTGGCAACCAACATTGGTCTCTAGACTCTAGTAGTCTAGTCTCATCACTCATCAGCTCATGGTTGTGAAGAGTGTGAGCAAATCTGGGTAAGATAACAGTAAGTCAGATACATCGATGATGGCATCTACTGCAAAAACAGGCTCGGTATAGGCAAGATGAAATGCTGCCCATCAGGCAGGGCAGGGCAGGGCACGCATGCAGTGCAGGAAAGCTCTGAATGTTTCTACCAGTTCTCTGTCTGACTGCTAATCTTCGGCCGGTCTCAGTAAAAATCTCAACAGCATGAAATTGACCACTAAATCATAGTGTTTTTGGGAGTCGTCGATGACACGACAGAATGTGCTCGATTCGCTTATCATACATACACTGTCCTCTTATTTGGACGCATCTCTACAAACAAGAAAAAAGTATGTGAAAAGTATGGTGTGAAAACTTGGTTATGCAGTTATGCTACTACTTCTCCGGTTAATAACTGCATACCCCGCCGGTCATATATGGGGTTCACATCCTCTACCATACTGGCAATATGGCACTACCATTACAGGCACTGACGTGTGGGACAATAGAGGGTGGGACAAACATAACAGTAACTGTAATGATAGTAATATTATAGTAGAGGATTCTCACCCATCAGGGACAAAAGGAAGCAGTTCTAAAGGTTTTTTTTTTGTAATGTATCTTCTTCAGATAGGCACCTAAGTTTTAATCTTGGCATATGATCTTTATATGATAAATTTATCTGGTCATAATATCATACTAAATCATTACCAAATTTCATGAACGGATGCATGCATAAGGACACCTGTTATTGTGCTGTTATATAACTCTTTCAGCAATCACCATCAACCAAGATGGAACAGAAACCGAAAATCCTCTCCGAATTTCCTCTACCCTGCCCCATTCTTGCATGTAAACGCGTATCTTTCTATGATCAGCGACACCTACAAATGAACTAGGCCAACAGCAAGCTTTCTGAACTGAAAACGAACTGCCTGCACGATCTGGCAGACAACGCGATCGAGCTCAAGGTTTTCCCTCCCATCACTGACAGCGTCTCACTACCCCTCCTACCGAACTCAAGAACAGCAGGCCATCGAGGTCTGAAAGTAAACCACGCCAGAGACATGGCCTCTCGTCGCTTTCAGAGAAGAATTCTGGAGCGAGCGAAAACAAGAGCATCCCTAACTGGCAGGGCATCGTGATGGCCGAGAAGCGTGTCGAGAGGAAGACGAAGGCGTGTGGGCTATGCGGTCCGCGTGAGGCTGGAAATTTTTCAGGTTCAGCAAAATCGATCTCACCAAAAAAAAGAGAGAGAAAGAAAAGCATTTTCCATCGGCATGGTGGAAGGATGATTACCCGGGCGGGATGCACGTGGGGGAAGGGAAGAATGCAGGAGGAGTCCGGTCATGTCGGCGGCGGCCGGCGAGGTGGAGGCGGCGGTGGTCGTGGGGGCGCGGCGCGCGAGCTGGGAGCCGCCGGAGCGGCGGCGATCGGTGGTGGGTGGCCGCGAAGGTGGCGGGTGTTCTTCTCTCTGTGTGGCTGCTTGTGGGGCTGGAGTGTCGGACTCGAGGTGTTGGGGGGGGGGGGGGGGTGTCCTTCGTGGTAATCGTGGCCGTCGATCTGGGATCCCAGCGCGAGGAATCAACGGCTCAGCTTAGCCGGGAGCCTTCTCTCGGGGCTGGTCCATGTGGGCCCCCACACCCCGGGTACGTGAGAGGCTGCGTTAGCATGACATGTGGGGTCCAAGCCGTGATGACCTGCGGTGAGTGACTCTGGGCGCAAATAGAATTACCGATGCATCGTGATTCGTGCAGTTAGGAACAATAGTTCTGATGCTCCTACTTCGTACTACTTCCTCCGTCCCACAATAGTTATGATTCTAGATTGTCTAGAATAGATTAAAGTTTAATATAAAAGTTTATAATACCCCTTATTAAATAATGTATGATGAGAAGTGGAATGGTTATTGAGGGTAAAATAGGAAAACTTTTGAATAGAAAGTGATTGATAGGACAACAAGTACTCCATAGTGATAAGTATTTGGGGACAAAATTAAAATCTTAAAGAGACAAGTATTTTGGAACGGAGGTAGTAGAACTTATCACTCAGTGTTAGAGCAAGTTTAATATAGCCAACTATCGGCTCCAAATCATATATAGTCAATTTAATAGCCAATTCATACAATAGTTACCTATAAACATGTACTACATCATTAATGTTTGGTACCACCTGTCATACACATACGTATCTTGGAGTCCGTCCTATAGCTGGCTACAAATATGTAGCCCGCTACTCTTATCTCTTCTCTTTTATCTTTTTAAAATATGTGTATAGCTGGCTTACAGTTTACTATTATACCTGCTCTTAGTAGTGTACTCTCTCGGTTTCTCCGTAAAAAATTAACTTAAAATCTGTCAAAAGTCCAAATTTATTGTAGTAGGACATTCAGTTTGAGGTTTGTTTGTTTTACGGAGGAAGCACGTGTAGAAAACGAAAGATTTTTGGAGATTCTAGAGACACCAAGTGAACTGACCTCGAGAGTTTTGACAGATCAGGCATACACAGCACACATTGTGATGTGGGGAGCTCTTGACGTGGGTTGCAGAGGCAGCTCTTTCGCAGCTTCGCTCGCCTTGTCCGCCGGTGTGTCATGTGTGCGTCTCTCTCTCAGCCTCGCACGTCCAATTTATATACGGAAGTTTACACCACCTCTGGTCTCCATTCTCCAGTTATGCGGAGTAACATCCTTACAGTAACGAACTACCCTCTCCAGTCTAGTAGTAGTAGGGAAAATTACAAAAACCATTTCTAAAAGTTATTTGAAGTTTAATATTTCACCTCATAAGTTATTTTGTTGTAAATATCCAGTTATCCACCTTCCACTCGGTTTCGTTGTAAAAATAACCCCAGTGTGCACATGCTTAACTGAATTAATATGTTTTCGTAAATTGCAAGTTGCCAATATGATCTTTACCAAAACTAACAGGTGGTCCGCTCAATTACACGGTTAGCATACGTACAAAATTATATATTTTTAATATGATTTTTACTTAAAATTTACTAAACAACTATCTCGTTGTCGTAATACTTTGAAACCAAAACTTATCATCTCCATGATTCTACTTTTATAGTTTTTAAAAGTCACACCAGTTATTACCCCTTATTTCTATCACCTATTTCTTTATTTGTTTGTTCGATATGAACTCTTGTTTTTGTTTTTATATGGACTCTTTTTTCAATATTGTTTATTTTTAATTTAGAATTTTAGTTATTTCTAAACTGTATTCCTACATGAGCTCTCTTTCTCTTTTTCTTCGATTAACGTGAGAATAGCATCCACAGCGAACGTGATATCTCATTTCAAAATTATTTTAATAATATTATAGATTAAATACATTACGACCAACAAATTTGTTAGCCACAAGTAAAACAAAATTTAAAACAAGGTAAAACAGAACCTGACATATACCCAGAGAAGCTATATACATATGCTTGCCATGACTCCTGCGATTAATACAAACCTGACTGATTATTGCGGCATGTCTAAGGTGGTTAGACATAGTAAAGTAAGGTTGCGAAATAAACATATCCTAGGTTTTTCTTTAAAGCATCATTAGCACTTGACATGAGTGCATGACCAGGCAGGTATACATACAGCCTAGCTAAGGAGAGTGTCACACCAGACTATGTGGAAAAGGGGATGTCAAAATCAAGGTCATTTTTGCAAGAAAGATGAGGGGAAGAAAAGCGCAAAAGAGCCAAAGGTGCCACGCTTTAATTTAAACGAAAGGACAAATTCTGTATAAATTATTACTATCTCCGTTTTTTAATAGATGACGCCGTTAACTTTTTCTCATATGTTTGATCATTCGTCTTATTCAAAAAAATTTACGTAATTATAATTTATTTTGTTATGAATTGTTTTATCACTCATAGTATTTTAAGTGTGATTTATATCTTATACATTTGCATAAAATTTTTGAATAAGACGAATGGTCAAACATATGAGAAAAAGTCAACGGCATCATTTATTAAAAAACAGAGGGAGTACAATCTAAAAGGTGAAAACAAAAGGGGAATAGTCAAGCTTGGTTACTTTTTTGAAAAAAAAAAAAGAGAGAGCACGATTAAGTCGTTTTTAACCTTTAGCAATCTGAATTACATTCAAAATAGCTTAAACCAATAATAGAGTTCAGATGGAAAAAACTTGGGATATTGATTTGTTTATAAATTTTGAGTGCGAGCGCCCCTTGTGTGAGAGATCAATTTTATTTATTTCTTTCTTTTTTTGTAAATTGAGTTTCTGGCGACAAACTAAGAAACTACCTTGTTGCGATAACATATCATTTTCCGGACATGTTTTAAGTTAAACCTTACAAACCTTGAGCATAAATATCTTTTTAAATGCTTATGTTGGATGTATGAAAATCGTATGTTTAAAATCGCCTTGAAAATAACTTTAATAATACTATACTTGTATTGCTTTTTATTTTTCTTTTTGGCAGAAATTAGTGGTCAGCCGCATTTTAAAGAACATGTCTATGTTCAAAATTCTTGTCACCCGCAGGGAGGAGCACGTTTTTTTGCATGCGACCTTTGCTTTGCTTCATTGACCTGCTTTCTAACCCGTCATGCCCAAATGCAGAAAAGAAACCGTCCCAGCAAAGTCAGAGGGTTACTTGATAAGCACAGTTTTCTCGAAATCCAGGAAGAATCAACATTCTTTCATCATAATAGAATGCTTCGTTTCCTATTAGGCCCAAAAACCAAGTGCACCCAATAATTCTTCAATGACTAAAGCGGCATTATTTTTTCATGAAAGCAATAAGATATCTTTCCATAATTGCAAGTATCATCAAATTTGTCATTACGAGCTTTAGGATTCAGTTGTTGGTCTGTGTAATCACTAATCACCTCAAAGAGATAAGAAAATGGGAGGAGCAAGCAAGCACAACAAGAAAGGCAGCAGGCATTATGCCGTGTCCTTATTACTCTATTATAGAGATATATAGTACTGGGTGCTAATGCCATCCAATTCACTAACCTCTTGTTTTCTCCTAATGGTGTCCACGATTTTTTCGTTGGCCATCTTTTTCTCGGGGCCATCTATATGGCTCATCATAGGGGAAAAGCTGAAGTCCTAACCAATAGTCCCAAAATGCAGCTGCTGGAAAAGTAATGCATGGAGATAGAAATGGTCAAGCACTCAGTATGAATAAAATGTATTGAAATGATAAGCTAAAGAACAAATCCGCTATTCATCTAAGCTATCATGTTATGAAGTTATTTGCTCGTATCTGTTGACTATTGCTAGATACAGTTCCAAGTCTAGATTTGCCGGTCCACTTCTTAGTCCTATCTTACTCAGAAAATTGAATCCAAAACATTCCTCGGTTTAAATCTTCACCAGGGTATCTGATCCAACAAACACAAAGCTTCTCAGAAACTTTAAACAAAGTAGAACATATATATTTTTTTAAAGTGCTCTCAGGACCGATTGCATCGTAGATAAATATTCAATGAAAACCTCATATTAAAGAGATATATAGGGTAAAATTTAACTGGTATTGTGGTACTAACTGAATAAACACTATAACTATAATTAATACTAAGGTTATGTTATGAATATGTAATTTTCATACAACAGTGTTTTAGATTTCAAGATAATCTTGGGCTGAACTGGGAGTTTGATCAAATGCTGAAACATTATAGCTCATATGCTAAGCTATTCATTTCTCAGGTGGTGATTCATGATGCAGGTTACTATGGAATATCATTAGGAAGGGGGCAAACGATTCCTAACATTTATTCAAGGTATATCACCAGCCTGTTGAATATATAGCTTACAGTCTAAGCAACAGCCTACAATAGTTTTGTACGTTCAGTTCAACACCATAAGAACAGATGGGTACATAAGTATAACATGATGTCTCCATGCATTCGTAACAATTAGAGCAGTGGATAGGAACAACACTGGTTGATCTAATATGTAAAATCCCATTGATTTTGAGTCACGATCTGGTAGTTGTCATGAACTACTCAACAGATCAGAAAAGGACCTGTGGCCAGTAATCATCACATAGAAAAGCCTCCACCATGTCTGCATACCATTATCAGAAAAGGGATGCCCATTCTAGCATTTTTCTTCATTTTTTCTTGATTCCGAATATAAAACGAGTTCGCAAGGCTGAATTGTATACATCCAATTTGGTCCTTGGCATGAACTACAATAAGTTCTCTTTAGAGAAGGCAAAGAAGTTTAATGGTGTTTCCAATGTTTAGTACTTGATTACATAGAACTTACAAAGCAACACATTTGAACTACAATGGTGACTCAAGACTGCAGAAGTGGTTATCACTTATCAGAAGTTCAGGACTGGGTCACTGACAGTATCAATCTTGCCCCACAGTCAACAAAATTGATTAAAATTTTCAGACCATAAGTGGAGCGTATCATGGATGTGCAAAAAGACATCCTGGAAAAAGCATAGACCGGAACACAATTTCTTCGTAATATTTTTTTTAGTGTTTATGCTGGTGAAGAAACTCACAGGGCCTTATATTGGATAACTCATGTGAAACCATAAGATAATTAAGTGTTTAACTGAGGGTTCATAGTGCAAGCAATTGAACTTTGCTTAGTCAATTTAATTTTCATCAATGCAATTGGCTACATATTAAATCAAATTTCTGCATTAATAGTTGACATGAAGGGGAAAAAGTAGCAACTCAAACACCTACTTGCCTTGTGATAACCTTGAAAACTTCCAGTGGTTAGGCAGAAGAAGATTAAATTCATTACAGCTAAGTGGAGTTACTTGGACAGTTGGGCTGCACTAAATAGGATGCCCATACTTCATCAGCTGGAGGGGGTGGCTGAACCCAGTGCCCAGGTATTCGGCTGCAGGCAGGTGAGACAATTGCATTGTTAAATAAGAGAATGCTACATAGAATTCGTTTCACATGGTAAAGCACTACAATCGAGAGCACAATGTACTAAATCCTATCATCAGAGCACTTCAATAAAATAACATGAATGCTACCATAAGTTATTAGTAGATGGCTTGAAAGAACCACAGGACATTCAGCACTATAATGCTATCCCAGTACTGAAATTACAAGAAAGCGTTCCAGAGTACTATACAAGTAGCCCAACAAACTTCGAATGTATCCAACAACCATCATTCTGTTTACTAAAAGAGATTGCACTTTCCTATGGCATAAACCTCATATATAACCCAAATCAATAGAACATTATATATTCTCATGAGTTCTTTTTTTCTCATCTTGGTATTAGTTCTTCAGAGAATCAGCAAAATATATTTCCATTGTTTTTTGTTGTATGGCAAAGATGCTTGTTGAGCGAATTTAGTTTGCATATTATATTTAGCAGAGTGAAAGTCATACCTTCCTCCAGCTCTAATAAAGGAATCCCACATCCTGCGGACCTGCAATCAAAGGTGGAATACATACATGATGGCTGAGTGAATCTATTGAGTAATTCCCAATCAAAAAACATATTGAGTAATTGCACATTTGCATTGATATGAGACCATCGATAGGATCATCCTAAAACATTCACTTGGTAGAAATCACATTAACTGATTAACACATAAAGCATTCGCAAAACTCCCAGATGAGCCAATTATGGTATTCAATGGAAGTGTGAAACCCGCCATGCCATATCTATGACTCTGATAGATTGATATGTAAAGCCTAGTTCAGAATTTTGGCTGTGATAGACTGATAGTGCAAAGCCTAGTTCAAATTTACACTGTATTATTCTTATACACTCCACAAAACCTTAATGGTAGCATGAAGTTGAAAAGCCAGCATAAGTTACCTCAATGAGTGTTCCCATGTCGTAGCTGCTTCCATGATAATAATGGTAGAACTCAAAAGGCAGACTGGAAACAGAATCATAATGCCCATGCCCTTTGCTGTCATCTTTATGAAGTTCATGCTCTGTTTTTTGGCTTGCATGATGATTTCTGCCGCTTATTCCTGGATCTCTCTGGTTTTGTTCCAGTGTTGGTGCACTTTTGGCTTGATCAGAATCATCTTCTCTTGAATTTGAACACTGCACAGCCTTCCTCGACTCTTCCGCGGTCAGAATAGCATCCTTGGCAGCATCAGTCCGAGCAGCACTTGCAGCTTGGCGCTCCTCTTCCTCAACTGCAGCCTTAACACGCTCAAGATATTTATCATCTTCTTCTGGCAGAAAATGACCTGAAATATATTACATGGTAACTCATGCATCAGTTCCATGTGTTTAGGTTGATCAACTGTACTAAAACAGGGGAAAAAAATAACTATTAACAAGGAAAAGGCAAAGTTTGCAGGTGATTTTAGGCCCTGTTTGATTCAGCTTAGGATTATTATAATCTAGCTTATTAGGAGTAAGCTGAAACAAACAAGTAGATAATTATAGCAGATTATTATAATCTATAAGCCAGATTATTATAATCTGATAAGCTGCTCTAGAGGAGCTTTTTTCAGATTATTGAGTGGCTAAAGACCCACTACCCCTACATACTTGAGAAAAATTACTCACCTATGCCATCAACCGAACAGATAGCTGAGGGCATTATAGACTTTAGCCTTTCAAACCCAATAATCCATGCCTTCAATAATCCAGACAAACAAACAACTCACAGCTTATTCTATGCCAGCTTATTATAATCCAGCTTATAGTAATCTGGCTTAATAATCTAGATTATAATAATCATAAGCTGAAACAAACAGGGCCTTAGTGTGTTCGCGCGAGCCTACCATAATTTTATAGCAAATATTTTTGTGAAGTTTTCAGACACCACCCATTTGGACAACAGATTGGCAAGAAATGCATTAGATATGACAGAGAAGAATGGGAATGCCAAAATTTGGCAATCATTTAAACAAGGGACAAATTCTTGAAGCATTACAATGTGATTGACCCATTACAGTAAGATTGACCCCCATGTATTAACCATTTCCCACATTTTGCACCTCTTTAGATTATGACTATAGGTTTGACGGACTCATATATTGAAATAAATAAAAAGAAGGAAATTCTTAAAAATAATGGGTAGATGAATATATCCTGCCTTGTTTCTTCATTTTTTGAACTCTCATAGAGCGAAGCTCCTGTAGTTTCTCGACCATTAGGGCAAGCTCAAGCTGAAAATAGAAGATTTGTATTGAGAAAATTAGTTTTCTAGAAAACAAGACTATTGTATTTGCCGCTCTTGAATTTACAATTTCTACAGAGAATATTAATAGTTTGGAATCTAAATATAACATACTGAAATAACCACTCAAGAATTCACAAACTGATTGCACAATAATTCTGAATGAAAGAAAACAGGTAGGTAGGTGGTGTAATTGAAGATGTTGGGTTGCAGCATATCAAACACAAATATACAAGACTTTAAGAAATTTTAGAAGCAAGCTTATAGAGTTTCCTAAATTCGTAGAAAATCAGATAAGGTCAAAGATAAAAAATGGTGTAACTTAATGCTTACTACAACTTAACAAAATTCATAACTCAAGGTATCACAATGTATAGTAATTCAGCAGTGTATGAAAATGAATTAATGAAACATAGCGCTCACAATTTCCACGCAGATGTCCACAGACAAGCAGGATTTCCACACCACAATGTAAGCATTAACTTTACCTCAGATTCTAGACGCTTTCTTTCCTCATTTGCTTTTTTCTTGGCAATCTGCTTCATGTTTTCCACCTGATTTCACAGTATCAATGAATTGATCATCTGTGGAGCAACAGTGTATCTTACCCAAAACAACCCCACTAACAAAATGACAAATTCAAAAATGAGAAAGAACCTTGCGCTGCGCCATGTCCTTGGCTATTTGCCTAGCCCTCCATTCATCAGCTTCCTGATCAATTCTGTCATAATCTGCATGCTCCTGTGAAACATCAAGACAATTGATGTCATTATGGTCAGTTGTCACTTTGATTTGATCACAATATAAACAGAAAAACGTATTGATGAGCGCACCTTCTGGAAAAGCTCTGCAACATGCTTTCTTTTTCTCTTTCTCCATCGCTTATTTCTCTTGGATTTCTGCAGCTTCTGAGCTAACCTAATCATTGCATACCTCTCTTCCCAAGGACCCCCTTGGTTCACAGCAGGATAAATAGGTGCAAGAAGGTTCTGAATCTGAGAACAAAGATAATTAGCAGCATCTGTGGCCAGAGACTCATGAGTGTCTTGACTAATCTTCATAGCTCTAGCAAGCTCAACGAAATGCCGGGGCCTATCTGCAGAAGAACCATCAGGCTCTGATGACAATTTTGCTGAAGACGAGTCAGGTCCTTGCGTGCTAGCATCGACCGAGTTTCTAGCCTGCGCAATTTCCTCGAGCTCATTTATCCTGCCAATTCAATTCCATTTTCAGTCCACAAAAAAAAAAGGTCTAATAAATTAGCAATAAAGGAAATGCCTTCGGTTTTGAGACAAAGTTGCATGATTATCGCTAGCTTTAGGCGGTTCAGGAACTCACACTGCAGTGGCTAATTCGATGGTTTCCTGCAGCCTCCCCACATGCTCCCGCACATTGTCCCGCTGCCAAAAGGATGTAGCGGCCGGCGGCTGGAAAGGCGGCTGCCACTGCCATGGCTGATGCTGCTGCTGCTGCGGCGGCGGCGGCGGGGGTGCGACCCCGAAAGCACCCGGTGGTCGGAACATGGCGGGCAGCTTCCCTCAAAATCCCCTCCCTTAGGTCAGTTCACCACGCTGCAGTTGAGGCGAGGAACGGGCGGAATCAGGCTCAGGGGAAATCGAGTCTTACCAGGGGGAGACCGGGGGAGGACGAAGAAGGTGACCCCTGCGACGGAAGGCGGCGGCCCTCGCCTCCGCCGCCGATCGCCTCGACGGTGGGCTCGGTTGCGGCGGGCGTTTCGCGGCGCTCCGCCGGAGCGGAGGGAGAGGGGAGGAGGAGGAGGAAGCCGCGGGCTCGCTCGGTGGAGTCCAGGAAACGAAACGCACGGCCCAGTGGCCCACGTACGTTTCGCCTCCTCCCCTTGGTGGGCCGCAAGAAGAAGGCCCGTGCCGCGAGGACGCGTGCCGCCGGGTGAGAGATATTTTTCTTTCTGCGTCTCGCTCGCGTCCCGAGGCGTGTGCATGCGTGCCACGTATCCTCTCCGAGCCAGTGGCGCGCTGCCACGTCGCGCTAGGTTGTCATCGTCCAAAGCACAGAAAAAAATATTTATCTTTTATAGCTTGGTTTTGAAGCACATGAACTAATGAAGGACTGGCGGTTACTAGAGCGTTCTTCTTCTTTCTCAATTCTGCATCTGAGGCTTTGGGCATTTTATCCAGCGATGAGTCTCGTCACCGCGTGCTCCGGCGAGAGAGGACGTGTGGCAAACGAGAGAGATGAAAGAAAAAATCCACTTTATGTTTGTGTTTAGTTTACACTGATATTTGAAAGTTTGGAAATATGATTGAAATTGGAATGATGTGCTGAAAAGTTGTGTATGAAAGATTTGATGGATGGAAAGTTAAAAATTTAGGAAAAAACTTTGAAACTAAACAGGGCTTTCGATGCGACCACCGAAGACACCTGAGAGAGCGCGTACTCGCTCCCGGAGTCCCGACCCGACGTGCCGGGTGGCGGCTTCACCCGCAGCTGAAGTCCGCGGCCTCTGTCTCTGTGCAACCCAACGGCAGTTAACCCGTGCGCCCAGCGCATGGAGCGCGCGACATTGGGATCAGGTGCATTCTCAACTACAGCTGCTCCTAAGAGCACCCACAATGGTAAAGTAAGGTGCTATCTATAAAACATGTACATCTCAGCAATAGACTAGATTAATAGTAAACCACTTCAATGGTATGTCTACATGGGTATCTATAGCTCTCTAATCTATTGCCTCGTTTTTCTCTATAGACTATCTCCAGGTTAGTAGATAGCTTTCCTCTCCCTCTTCATTTAATCTCTTCCAAGTAGGAAAATATGCTGACATGGATTTCTTGTAGAGAGCCTATAAATAACTATTGCGGGTGCCCTAACGCGACATTGGGATCGGGCTCTCGTTAGGAGCTTACACAAGATCTTGTTCATTCAATTTTTCAATGGAAGGTCTAAATTAATGCTACAGTAACATTGTTATAATAATTTTGTGCTGTTTTGTTATAATAATTAATGGATAGCCATAATATGACTGTCTAAGTTGCAGTCCAGGCTAAGAACTGTACAGGAACCGGTGTAGATTTTTGCGGCGAGATGCGTTGCACGGGGACACCGGGCGGGGCGGTAAGTAGTACAGCAAGTTGGGGGATGCCAATGATTCAAAACAGTTTGATCATATCTCAAGCGGAGGTGCGTTGGATCATATCGGTGCATCTGCATGGGGCATGGGTATGGGCATGGCCATGTTCAGGTCGCCCCGGCCGGTAAAATCCGGGGATTGGTGATTCCACCGCAGGAGAGGAAGGTTAATAATATAGCACACTGTTAGCTCCAATTTATCTATAGTCAATCTAATAGCTAATTTATACAATAGTTGCTTACTATGCTATTAGTATACGGTCCCACCTATCATACATATATTGTGTCTTAGAGTCCATGCTACAGCTAGCTACAAATCTGTAGCTCGCTGCTCTTCTTTCTCATCTTTTATCTCATTAAAATAATCCCTCCATACTCGTAAAGGAAGTCGTTTAGGACAGCGACACAGTCTCCAAAACACAACTTTGACTTCTTATTTCTATAAAAAAATATTTATTGAAAAGTGATATATGTATACTTTTATGAAAGTATTTTTCAAGACAAATCTATATATATATAATTTTTATATTTTCAAACTCAATAACTTGAGAGTTATTCATGATTTATATTACCAAGGTTTGACTTAAACATTATCCTAGACGACTTCCTTTATGAGTATGGAGGGAGTATAAATTCAAACATAGATATATCCAGATTTACAATAGGCCTAATTTGTCTAGTACCATCACAAAAATCACGGAGTTGAAAAATACTATAGTATGTGTCATTGACATGTGGGTTCGGCCCCATATGTCATTCTCACATACGATGGTATTTTCTAAATTTTTCCTTTACTTTACAATAATATGATGTATCGAATTCAGTATCCTCTCTGTTTCAAAATAAATTCTCTAACTCACAATATAAGAATCCAGGGCATCTCCTGGAGCTAGAGCTCAACCAAACAGTTTCAGTTCTACTATAAATGTGAATGGAGCTAGGTGGAGCTCTCTCACCAAAATGAACTAGAGAGGTGGAGCTGGGTTTAGGCAGCTCCACAACTCCACTCCAGACCCAACTCCTGGAGCTAAATTTAGGAGTTGGAGCCTACCAAACAGGCCCTAAGAGCAAGTTTAATAGTATAGCCTACTACTGACTCCAAATCATCTATAGCCAATGTAGTAACCAATTCATACCATAGTTGCTTACTATACTATTAATATATGGTCCCACCTGTCATACACATATTACGTCTTGGAGTCCGTGCTACAGCTGGCTATAAATTTATAGCCCGCTGCTCTTCTCTTTTACTTTATCTCTTTAAAATATGTTTATAGCTGGCTTGTAGTCTACTATTGTATCGGCTCTGGGAATATCCCAACATCCATGTGAGAGACAGAAAACAGGGGAAGGAACCATCACGCAATTACAGAGAAACTTGTGGCCCCATACGCAAAACCTCCCCCCGGTTTGGACAGCGCCACAGTGCGCCACCTCTCCCCGTGAAATAGCCCACGTATGCGCCCCGCGTGGCCGCCCCGGATTGCCCCCCCCCCCCCCCCCCCCCCCCGCCGCGACGCGCGCAGCCCGGAGCAGCAGAAGCACCGAGAAACCCGCGGCGATCGATCGATCGATCGAGCAGTAGCTGTTGTTGGTTGTTCCCTCCCTCCTTCCCATCCATTCTCGCCGAGCCACCCATTCCGCCACCTCCACCCCTCCCCCGCATTAACCCTCCTCCTCCGCTCGCCGCGCCGCGCCACCGATCGATCGCTGCGCTCCGTGCGTCTCACCACCTTGCTAGGAGGACGAACGCCGGCGGCGGGGAGGGGATGGAGGGGAAGCACGTGGTGATGTCGGCGGTGGGGATCGGGATAGGCGTCGGGGTGGGGCTGGGGCTGGCGTCCGCGCCGTGGGCAGGCGGCGGCGGGCAGGGGGCGAGGGTCGGGGTTACGGTGGAGAGGGTGGAGCAGGAGCTCCGCCGCCTCGTCGTCGACGGCGCCGACAGCAGGGTCACCTTCGACGGGTTCCCCTACTACCTCAGGTGATTAACATCAACAACGTCTTTTTTTTCCTCCCGTTCATCGAGCTATGCAACTGTTCCGTCACCTTGCATCGTCAGATTTTTTTTTTTAGGATTTTTTCCCCTTTGTTCTGTCCTGTATAGGGGATATGTTTTTCCCTCCGTTCTTATGATCTTATCATGCACAAATAATTCTGAGTCTGTGATATGCAAGCAACAGATTTACAGATGAACTGTGTAGTTTGGCAAATTAGAAAAAGAGAGAGAGAGAGAGAGAGAAATGTTTTGAAAGGTTTCAACAATCTTTTGGCTCGGAGATCACAAAATGAACGCTCTGATTGAAGACAGTGGCACTGCTATATTTCTGTAGATTAGCTTGTTCATAATTTTGCGTGGGAGGCGAAGAGAGACAACCCTGCTTTTCTGAAATGTTCCTCTTTGTGATTGAAAAATGGCAGCCTTGAAAGGTAGTGCTGGTAGAATTGGTTAAAGAAAAAAAATGAGGGGACGATAGAACACATACAGAACAACATCGATGAGACGTCAAACGTCTGTTTGTTCACTTTCAAGATCAAAATATTAGCTGGAATTCAATTTTAATGATCACCCAGCAGGACAAGGAAGATGCTAGATGAACGATAGATTTCTAGCTCTGTTCTCTTTTTTAATGTACACGTTCATTTCCTTTTCCACCCTCCATGTCATCATCCTTTGTTTCTCTTTTTCCCCAAACTATGATTTGCAGCGAGCAAACGCGTGTATTGCTGACAAGCGCGGCGTATGTTCACTTGAAGCAAGCAGACATCTCACAATACACCAGGAATCTTGCACCAGCTAGCCGTGCGATTCTATTGTCAGGCCCTGCAGGTAAATCATATTCCATTGCACAGGTTAAGGAGTTGCTGAATCACTCTTCTTCTGGCCCTGACTAAGTTAAGGCTAATTAAGTTCCTATCTTGAAGAACTTTACCAGCAAATGCTTGCCAAAGCGCTTGCCCACTATTTTGAAGCAAAATTGCTGTTGCTAGATCCTACAGATTTTCTCATAAAGGTGAGTTTGGCTGGCACAGATTTCCTTTCATGTACATTTTTAAGTATGTTTGTGATACAGACTTTTCTTCCTCACAGATCCATAGCAAATATGGTGGTGGTAGCAGCACAGACTCGGTAAGAACTCAACACGCTTTGTCGTATTTGTTGTAAGGTCACCATTCTTCTGATTTCCGAACCTTGGAGAATATAAATGTGTGTGTCCTGTTTTGCTTATTCTTGACATTGTAGTGCTTTTTTTTCCCTACATTGTTGCGAAATTTAGAATTTTTATCAACTGCCCAAGTAGTGGCCAGTTTAAATTAACTATTAACTTGTGAGCACTTTCTCCTTATCAGTCTTTCAAAAGATCCATATCTGAGACGACCCTTGAAAAGGTGTCTGGATTACTTGGATCTCTTTCGATTCTACCACAAAAGGAGAAACCCAAAGGTGACATGATCGACTTCACAATAAGAAATGTTCAACTGTTCCTTATTCTGAAGTAGGGCAGAATAATTATGTTTGCTTGTCAGTAGTCTGCTTCAGTTCTTGCATGGAATTTTTGCAACTCTGCTCAGTCATTAGCAGACGACATGAACTTTTCTGGTTTCATTTCTATTAGAACAAACTAGATGGAACATGTATTTTCATGTGAAATTCACACTTTTGCACACCACAGTTGAGATCTTGAATACAACCATGTTGCTGTCATTCTCAGTTATCTGAAACAAAAATGTCTAGCGATTCCATCTGTATATGCTGTTATTTATATGGATGAATGGCATCGGTATTCAAACAGAGTTTCAGAAAACTACAATTCCTGCTGAACTGAGAGAATGAATAAGTACACTTACTGCCAGCAAAGCGCAAAACAACTGTTCTTGACTTCACATAATTTAGCCTCAATTTGGTCTGAAATTCTGATGCTGTGAACGAATGTAATAGTGCTTACCTTAAAAAAAATTGAATTTGCTTGCATTTGCAGAATGTAGAGCATAACTTAATTGTATTTCGTTCTACCTCAGAAGTTTTGCAGCTGAATGACCATAGAGAATAACTGAATTATGTATTTCATTCTACCTCAGGAAGTTTTGCAGCTGTATATTTGTTATCTTAGTTTGGTTTATTTTTTATCACAGGAACTATTCGTAGACAAAGCAGCATGACGGACATGAAATTAAGGTACTGGAAAATTGTGCTTCTGTGAACCTGTTACAGAAACTGCAAATCATTGGCTGCTGTTGATATGCTTTCTTTATGTATTTTGCAGGAGCTCTGAAAGTACGAGCAGCTTCCCGAAGCTTAAAAGGAATGCCTCAACTTCATCTGATATGAGTAGTCTGGCATCACAAGGCCCTCCAAATAATCCAGGTCATATTAAAATCTCTTGCACACAAAATTTGTCCTGAGGCTTCTGGTATTTTGCACCTATATCTGTTTCTCATGAGTCATGTTGTATTTGGTTAAACACTGCAGCTTCTCTCAGACGTGCTAGCAGCTGGACTTTTGATGAGAAGATTTTGGTGCAAGCAGTATACAAGGTACTGCATTCAGTATCTAAGAAGAACCCAATTGTTCTCTACATAAGAGATGTTGAGAAGTTTCTTCACAAGTCCAAAAAAATGTATGTCATGTTTGAAAAACTACTGAATAAACTTGAAGGGCCAGTGCTAGTCCTTGGCTCAAGAATTGTGGATATGGACTTTGATGAAGAGTTGGATGAAAGACTAACTGCTTTATTTCCATACAACATCGAAATCAAGCCACCAGAAAATGAGAACCACCTTGTGAGCTGGAACTCCCAATTAGAAGAAGATATGAAGATGATTCAGTTCCAGGATAACCGGAACCATATTACGGAAGTCCTTGCCGAAAACGACCTTGAGTGTGATGATTTAGGCTCGATATGCCTATCTGATACTATGGTTCTAGGTAGGTACATTGAGGAGATTGTGGTTTCAGCAGTTTCTTATCACCTGATGAATAAGAAAGATCCGGAGTACCGAAACGGAAAATTACTTCTATCTGCAAAGAGGTACTTAGCATTTTTGTATAGTTGTCTGTTGGTTTCTTCATCTCTTCTCCGCTTTATGACTCTCTCATGACACAGCTTGTCCCATGCACTGGAAATTTTTCAAGAGAACAAGATGTATGATAAGGATAGCATGAAGTTGGAAGCAAAGCGTGATGCTTCAAAGGTTTGTTTTATTTCTACTGCTTTTGGATTAACTTCATACGCTTCAGGAAATTCCGAATATTCTGTTGATTTGTAGTTATTCATGTTTTTTTTTAACGAACCGTTATTCATGTATTATGCCTCACATACAGGTGGCTGACAGGGGAATTGCTCCATTTGCTGCAAAATCAGAAACAAAACCTGCAACTTTGCTACCACCAGTACCTCCTACAGCTGCTGCTGCCCCTCCTGTTGAGAGCAAAGCAGAACCAGAGAAATTCGAGAAGAAGGATAATCCATCTCCAGCTGCAAAAGCACCTGTAAGAGCATTAATTAAAAGTCTAAAAGCACACGTGCACCAGCAAAACTATTACAGAACCGTTGGTTATTATGGAAGTGTCGTTCTGTTGAATGCTGTGCAGAGTAAAGCGTAGTTCCTTGAAATCAATTATTGAAAGGTTTTTTTATGACTTTGATATATCATACGTAGTTCTTAAAAAATATCTTGTGTCGTTTTATGTTACTTTCACAAGCCCCATGAATCTAATTTTGATAATGTGTAATTGCATCCTTTTCGTGTATTCAGGAAATGCCGCCAGACAATGAGTTTGAAAAGCGCATCAGACCTGAAGTGATACCTGCTAATGAAATCGGTGTCACATTTGATGATATCGGTGCATTAAGTGATATCAAAGAATCCCTTCAAGAACTTGTCATGCTCCCTCTCAGAAGACCAGATCTCTTCAAAGGGGGTCTTCTTAAACCTTGCAGAGGTATATTACTTTTTGGTCCTCCTGGAACTGGCAAGACGATGCTAGCCAAGGCTATTGCAAATGAAGCTCAAGCGAGTTTCATAAATGTTTCAATGTCGACTATCACATCGAAATGGTTTGGTGAAGATGAAAAGAATGTTAGAGCATTGTTCACATTAGCTGCCAAAGTATCACCGACGATCATTTTTGTCGATGAGGTCGACAGCATGCTTGGTCAGCGGAACAGAGCTGGAGAGCACGAGGCAATGAGGAAGATAAAAAATGAGTTCATGACACACTGGGATGGCCTCTTGTCAAGACCAGATCAAAAAATTCTTGTCCTTGCTGCGACCAACCGACCCTTTGATCTTGATGAAGCTATCATTCGAAGGTTTGAGCGCAGGTTTGCATCTCTTCCTTGCTAGATGCTAGTTCTCTCATCTGTATCTAAACTTTTTTTTAGCCCCTTTCGATTGTTCCAAGTTCCATGCCTGAGTGTATTGCCTTGCTTCTTTAGGATCATGGTCGGCCTGCCATCATTGGAAAGTCGGGAATTGATTTTGAGGAGCCTTCTGTCGAAGGAGAAAGTTGATGGCGGTCTAGACTATAAGGAACTAGCCACCATGACTGAAGGATATAGTGGCAGTGATCTAAAGGTCAGTATCATAAGACATGAATCTATGTCAACCCAAAGAACTCTTTGGTTAACTCAGTAGTCTGCTGTGTGACAGAACCTGTGCACAACAGCAGCGTATCGTCCAGTGAGGGAACTGATCCAAAAGGAAAGAAAGAAGGAACTGGTAATCTAGTCACTGCGATACTTAAGCATTCACTGGAGACAATTTTGTGAAATTTTATACTAAAAGTAAAATATATATGCCTAATATCTTCAGGAGAAGAAGCGGGAACAAGGAGGCAATGCTTCAGATGCTTCGAAGATGAAAGAGAAGGACGAGACGATCATACTAAGGCCACTAAACATGAAAGATTTGAAAGAAGCAAAAAACCAGGTGAATCTTTTGTTACAGTTGAATTTAGAATTCTGAAACATGCACAGAACGTAATTCTTGCTAATATAAAACTGAAAAACTGTTAGCATTATACTTGCTTGTTAACAATTTGTGGAAACTTTGAAATGCAGGTGGCGGCAAGCTTTGCTGCTGAAGGAACAATAATGGGTGAGCTGAAGCAATGGAATGAGTTGTACGGTGAAGGAGGCTCCAGAAAGAAACAACAGTTGACATACTTTCTCTGAACTATCTAAATATCCAGAGTGTATGAACATAATTTGAAAACTAGAATAGACGGAAAACAACCATGTGAAAATAGTCCAGTGTTTTAAGTTCCACCAGTTAAGAATGTTTGGGACCAAAGGAGCCTGGTTATGAAACCGGTTTTTTTTTGTTGTAAAACTTGATAGAGAACTTCCATACACAGGGACTATGTTTTGCCTGCCTCCGGTTGTTGTGCTTCAGAATAATGAATCCGGAGCGGACGTTTGTTTTCTTTTGTCTCTTTTTTTATTTCCATCCCTGTGCTCTTTTTGCATACTCCTCCGTGCCAAAATAACCAAAAATAAGAAAGTATGGCATGACAAAGTGTGGCTGGCACCAGCCAAACATGCCATTACGCCACGAGTTCCAGCGATGCCGGCTAGCTGCACTGCTGCAGCAAGAATCTAAGCGCATCGCACGAACCATGACGCGGAAGAATCATCTTTTGAGAGCGAAAGTGTAGCTTGTTATATTAGCCAGATTGAGAGTTTAATGCAATCAAATGGCTTATGAGGAAGCAAAAAAGCAAAGGTAGACCGGTAGTGCTGCCCATGATGAGACCATGGTTACTCAACACATTGGCATGTGAGAAAGCTGTGGCAGCTCATAGATTAGCCTGGAAGAAGAGCAAAAGTGAACATCAGAAGCCCAAGTGTTACCTTTGCTTTCAAGGATCAAGGACTCAAGGAGTCGAAGGGACCAAGTTTGGTTCCTTATAAGCCTTTACAAAGCAGCATCAGATGATGTTTCAATATTAAAACTTCATTATGGATAGAAAATGATGCTGCATTCCCCAAATGACTCGTCGAGTGACGCAACACCACAAATTTTTCCAAGTCCTAAAGCCAAAGTTTGGAATAGCTTCAAAATTTCGGTATATGTCCAAGATTATGTGCATCTTCAAACTGAAAAAATAAATGTGCACATCGCAGGCTGAATCTTTAATAGCGCAATCATAACAAGATTTTTCACCAACGTCAACAACAAAAATGACGGGTAGATGACATCTAGTCTCAACATTGGTTCATAAATATCACCAAATTCCAAAATGCAGCAATCTTAGTAACAAAACAATATCGCATAAACAATATGCATGCGACATCTTACAGATCAAAAATCAAACAGCGATGGAGCAAAGCATGCGCTGCAGCTGCATACTGTCGTAGCGCAAGCTACTCAGCTACTCCCATCAAGATCAGACAACAAAAGAGCCATACACAACACAAGGCAATAGGTGACAGCAGTGCATCTCAAGAACCACAACCCAACCACTACTATCACCTGCCACGAGGCACTGCATCACCTCTTCCTAGTGCTTCTTGTCTTTCAAGGGGCCCCTTGGTACTTTACTCAGGACCTTAGCATCGAGCACAGCATACTGTTTCTTAATCTCAACCCACCCCTTCTCACCATATGAGTCAATCTGATCTTCATACTTCTCATACAGAATTGGGACTGTGTGCAGCACCACAAACACTGTTTGGCATAAGAAGCAAAAGATCTAACATTAGTCAAATCTATAGTTTGAAGAGGTAATAAAGAATAATTCTGTCCAAAGTAGCCCAAACCACTTACCAATATAAACCAAGGTCAAGAAGTTGCAGCAGCTTCCAAGAACAGAAAGCAACCAAAGGCCAGCAATCACCTAAAAGTGTGGTATAGATCATAAATATTCAGTTTGCTATGGGAACAATAATTATACAAACACAAAAGCATCACAGACATACAATAAGGAACTTCTTGATGTCCCGGCCAAGAGCAATCTGACGAAGATTGGCAAAGGCCCTGTTGATCTCATAACGTGTAGATAGAGCAATGTTGACAACCAAATCTTCTGGAATAATCACCTCTGGGATCCGCGGGGGAGACCTGAAAGAAAGGGCACAGTTTAGAGACCTTTTATGTAATTATCTACCTGTGGAACATGATTATGCTTTGCCAAAACTTGAACAAGTTGTGATAGAGATGAAAAACAATCTTACTTGTTAATAAATGATGAGGCATTAGACCAGAGAAAGAGAAGACCCAAAGAGAATATGAGCCCATGGCAAACGAAAGTCAGGAGGTGGTAGCCAAGCAATTCAAAAAGGATCCAGATCGCAGTGGCACCGCCTAGTACACCGGCAGAGATGTTCCTGTTCCTCCATAGGAACACATCAGCGGCTGCAAATAGAGAACTGAAATCAATATGGCAGGATGAACAATGGATAATCAGGCTATATAACATGAGCACATAATGGAAATTTCACCTCAACCACAAAATATGACCACCCCTATGGAGAGAGCAAAGGTGTTTGTTTTGAAGGCAGGACAGCAGAAGACTAACAATCCCAGACAAATATAGCAATAATCAACAGCATATGTGGCTTATAGTAATCCTTTGTAGCTATTGATAAGGATTCACCAGAATGAGGTACATCCTCATTCAATATGATTGTGTTAGCTACGGCTTAACTGTGTGACGAGGCGGAGTACACTATTGCTAATCACTAACCTTCAAACACATACTGTTTACAAACAGTTCAATTCTTGCTCATTGTCACTCTAAAGGGACCAGTACTAGCACACCAGCAGACAATAATGTGACAGACCAACCAAGGAAATCATGAATTCAATTATTCCATTACTTTTTACATGTCAATCAAAACCCCGCTTCACATGGATCCTGACACATACAAGCATATCTTTTTCTCTTTGCCACAATCGCTTATGATTCATCAAAGCTAAACATGTCCACTACTTACTCAAAAAGATACGGATAAAATGAAATCACATAGATCAGATTGTATACGAGTATACGAGACGCACGCAACCTGCATTGCCGAAATTTGAATTAACTAGCACAGCGAGGATCACATTAGTTGTTCCGATTTGTCAAAGATATCTAAACTCATCCCCAAATACCCACAGATCTGAATAGATGGTCACACATAGCAAAAGGCTAAAACCCTACTCCCATTGGCCAAGTGCTAATCTACCAGATCTAGCCCGAAACCCAACACTCCCAATCAATCCAGATCCAGCCCATCCCCACCCGCTCTAACAAATTCAAACCAAATCAGCTTTGAAACAGAGAGAGAGAGAGATCATCAGCAGAGAGAGAGCAGCCATACGTTTGCCTCCACCGAGGACCTTGTGGATGGGCTCCTCGCGCCCGAAGAGGCGGAACACCTTGGCCTTGGCCTCGGCCGCGGCAGCAGCAGCCGAATCAACAAACGACTCCGTTGCGACCTCGGCCGGGGCCGGCGGCGCCGAGGGCTTCGGCTGCTTGCGCTCGTCAGCGTCGGAGTCGGACGACGACCCGTCCCCACCGATGTGGAGCTTGTCGGCGATCTTCTCCATCAGCGTCTCGCCGCCGCCCTCCGCCGCCGCGCGCGGCTGCTCCTCCGCCATCGCCGCTTCGCTGCTCGATGCGGGGGGGAAAGTGGAGGAGGAGGGAGTTGAAATGGGGGAGATCTGAGTTGAGGAGACGTGGAACGGTGTGGAAGGGGATGGGGGTTTTATAGTGGGGGTGGGGGTTTAGGGCAGATGGGGGAATCGTGGACGTTGGATTTGGATTGGACGGTGGAAAGCGATGGGGGTGGACGGTGGGGGGCGCTTTTTGCGGAGGAGTGGACCACAATACGCATGTCCTACTGGCTACGCAGGGTTGGAATGGGGAAATGCTTGGGGTACTCGAGTGTGTTTGGAAGGAGGGAAAAAAAGATAAACACATGATTAATTAATTATTAATTATTTTAAATTAAAAAATGATTTGATTTGATTTTTTAAGTGATTTTTCTTTTTTTTAAAAAAAAGAGCAACATTTAGTACTTTAGGAAGCTTGAGCGTAGAGATTTTCCTCCAAATCAGCTGACGCCGAGCGGAGCTGATTTGGGTTTTTTTTTCAGGTACTCCCTTCTGTCAAATTTATTTGAGGTTGATTATCCGAGTTCAATTTTCTCGACGTCGACTATTTTTCTCTATAGTGAGTATAACACTATCCATCCCCAAAAGAATGTATTTTTAGCAATTAACATGGACAATAGAACCTAGATAATGAATATTATCCAAATTCATAGCTAAAATAGTATTTTCTATCTACTTGTTTGAACCTAGATACCTAATTATATCTTGTTTGAACCTAGACACTATTCATAGTAAAAAAAACATTCTTTTAGGGCGGAGGGAGTACCTTTTTAAACTATGCTATCAATTATAGTAGAATGCTAGTATATTGTTACAATGTTTTTTCCTTTTTTTTTAAAAAAAAGAACTTGTTTGAGGTTATAAAGTTGGTTAAGATCATGTTAGTGACGATTTGGGTTTTCCACATGCTCCCTTATCTCAAATTTGTTTAACGTTGAAAGACATTTTCTCAAAATCAAATATATTTTCTCTATATTGAGTACAACTAGCTCCGTCTCAAAAAAAAAAGCTATGAACTTGAATGTTACTCCTAAATGAGTACTTCCTCCGTCCCATATTTTTAGTTTCTTCCATTTGTACCAAAATAAGTTCATTTTTAAAGCTATCATTGCATCAAAGTTTGTGAAAGTACAAAATTGATGTATTGGAAGAAGATAAAGTAAGGAATACTTGTATTGAGATTTGATAGTATGGATATTCTTGTCTTTCTGGTTTTGTTTGGTATGTGTGGGTTGTGTCAAAAGTAAACTTATTTTGGGACGAAGATAGTATCATTTTGGCTATGAATTTGGATAGCTTTTTAGCTATAAACCTGGACATCACTATTGAGGACTCTAGATTCACAATAAAAAGACAATCTTTTAGATATGGAGGAGTATTTATTTAAACTTTGCTATCGATTATAGTAGAATACTAGATTGTCACAATGAACTTCTCTCTTTAGAACAAAAAAACTTGTTTGAGGTTATACCATCAAAATTGTTCAGTGACAAAAGATAATCCTGTTTTACCCTAATAGTTCTCGGGGCGTGAAAATTGCATTAAAAAACAACAGCCACCATTATGGCTACACCAATATGAGTCTAAGGTTGGGTTCTTATCAGCTAAGAGCAGGTACAATAGCAGGCTACAAGCCAGCTATAAACATATTTTAAAAAGATAAAAAAGAGAGAGAAGAGCAGCGGACTACAAATTTGTAGCCAGCTGTAGTATGGACTTCAAGATATAATGTGTGTATGACAGGTGGGACCAGGTATTAATGGTATAGTAAGCAACTATTGTATGAATTGGTTATTACATTAGCTATAAATGATTTGGAGCTAGTAGTAGGCTATACTGTTAAACTTGCTCTAATGAGCTGATCTACTTTCTCATTTATAGTGAGTACATTTCTCGAACTGTTAAACGATATGTTTTAAAAAAAATATAGATATTTCCTACAAATCAAATGAATATAATCTGTGAAGTTTATGATAGTTAATATTTAAATAATCATTCGCTAATCATGTGTTTTGATTTCCGTGCACTAACTAGCTAAGCCAACCCACACTATCGGATGCAGCATTATTAATCTAACTCAAATAAACTTGCCAAACTCGATATAATATAAGTGGTGTGCTAAGGAGTATGAGACGATCATTGTTTGCAGTCTACTACAGTAGTGCATGATTGTGCGAATATGACCGTGTTATGTCAATTCTCACATCCTCGTGCTATATGATAGCCTATTTCCACAAACAATTATATTGCACCGTGAATAGCCATCTCCACTATAGTGTCGGATGCTCCTTTCCACCTTTCTCTCTCTCGCTGTGTAATGACAGGTTATATCAATCTTGATCTGTGAAACTTAATCCTGACCCGTTATTTTGGGTGTATAAAGTGATAAAGAAGGAAATATAATTATAATGATAGTAGATGGATTTATGGGTGCGTGCTAATTAATTGACCCTATAAACTGTTGGGGGTAACATTATGGGTGCATCTAGCAAAGAAAGGAGGACCGGGAGGAGAGTAGCGGGTGATGTCAAAAAGGGCCCCGGAATCAACGTGGCGGGCACTACCCTACCGCTGCGGCGGACGGCCAGCTTTTCTGCTGGACCGGGCCCCACGATCTGCTTGAATTCGGAATCTCTGCGTCATTTTTGATTTGTAGAGTATCCGGCCTACTAGTATCCCAAAATGGCCGACGTGGCATGGGCCCACCACACGGGTACGTACGGTGTGTCCAAATGTCTCTGCGTCCGCGTGGAGAATCCGGACATTTTTGTGCACACAACTTCAAACTTATGGCCTGTTTATTTCGCTAAATGTAATTAGATATTTAACCGAATGTCGGAAAGGTTTTTCATACGAATAGAAAAACTAATTTTATAACTCTGGAAACCACAAGATAAATCTTTTAGTCTAATTAATCTGTCGTTAGCATATGTGGGTTACTGTAGCACTTATGGCTAATCATGGAATAATTAGGCTCAAAAGATTCGTCTCGCGATTTCTCTACTAATTGTGCAATTAGTTTTTTTAATTTATATTTAATGCTCCATGCATATGTCTAGAGATTCGATGTGCTGTTTTTTTAGAAAAAAAAATTGGGGAACTAAACCAGGCCTTATCCCCCCCTCGATCGGTGCATTGTGTGATCCGATTATCCGACCAAATGTACAGACCTATCCCCTCTATCCTATAAAAAACCCAATCCTACCAACGAACCTAGACACATGTTCATTGCTAGGGTTGGCTTTTTTTTTGACAGAGTAGTAGTAGATTGTGACGCACTTTAATGAGTTAAATCTTTTGAAACTCGTCGAACTACAGATTCAAATTGAAGCTGATCATTTTAGTTTTGTTTCCGCCACTTCTCCCCGGAGCTACTATTAGATGGTGTTTGAATCTCCTGAAGATGAATATGAAGATAAAGTGTTTCATGCAAAACGAGGTGGTAATTACGTGTGATTAATTGAGTTTTAATTATTACAAACTTGAAATTTGTATTAATCTGATACTTTAGAACAACTTTTATATAGAAAGTTTTCGCACAAAATGCACCGTTTAGCAGTTTGAAAAGCATGTCACTTTTATCTAAAAGTTTATCCAACTTTTGTTGGAGAAAAGAATAGGGCCGTAGCCCATGGTGTACCACTTCCGTTTTTAAATATATATCGTCGCTAATTTTTATGATGATATTTGACTATTTATCTTATTAAGAAAATTATAAAAATGCTATTTGTTTTTATTGTGACTTGTGTCGAAGTTTGATGTCGCGATTCCGGTATTTGCATGGTATGGGGATCGTTGGTACTAGGGTATACGCGAGACTGAGGTAAAAGAGATAGAGACGAGGATTTTTATACAGGTTCGGGCCCCTGAATTGTCAGCTAATAGCCCTACATCCTGTTGGCCGAAGCCGGTATTGATCTTATTCACCATAATCATACCAGTACAATATTTGGGGTAGCCTATCTAACTGTTGTCGACATGGCGGTCTGAAGGTCTGACTCGTAGTCGACAACAGGGTAGTCTTCCTCCTCGAATCTGTGCCCGGCGAGATCAGAGATAGCGCTTTCGTTTCTCTTGACAGTATCCGGAGACACCGTAGGGGACTAGCCGTGCTTATCCCTGAAGCCGATATCCGGCGTCTTGTCTTGGCGTATGTTGGCTTGTATTGGCTTTGTGGTGTCTATGTTGCCCGTGTCTGTTGATTGTGGTGTCGATTGAGGTGGTTGTGTCCCCTCTCCTCCTAGGGGGCATTGTATTTATACCCATAGGTATCCCCTGTCCAAGTAGAATTAGGGAAACCAATATGGATACAATCTGAGTAGTACTTGTCGTTTCCATGTAGAACTCTGATTGTCTTCCCTTATCCGGAACTCCTTCTATATTCGCAGGTTGTTTCCGTATAGGATATGGTATGTGGTGGGTCCTGCCGAGATTTAGTCAACTACTATTAGGTATATGGTATCCATAACCCTGACAACTTGTATTATTATAAAAAAAACTCCAGCCTTAACTTATATTTTTTTTACATATTTACAATATATTTTTGAATAAGACGAATGATCGAACGTTATGTGAAAAATGACATCGTATATAAAAAATGAGGTAGTACTATTTTAACCAAAAAAGAAACTCCCGTCATTTCATATTATAATACACTTTGATCAAATTTTTTAAGTTCGATCAAGTTTATATAAAAGTAATGATATTTTCAAAACAAAACAAACATATCAAAATATATTCAATGCTATGTTTAATAAAATTAACTTGGTGTTGTAAATATTGCTGTTTTTTAAAGAACAATTGATCTAACTTAAAGAAACCTAAAAAAAAATCAAAGTGTTATATAATATGAAATAGAGGGAGAAGTACTATTCATGTGGAAAAGGAATAATCGCATTGCAAAGAGGATGTCGCGTCAATGACTCAATGTCTATGGCCTTAATACTGACGAAGCAAAATAAGGCTGGTGTTACAGGTTGAATCGCTAGCAAAGGGCTCCTTAAGGTCTCATCCCTTGCGCTATGAGTTACGAATTATAAGCTGTTACTAAATTTAAATTTTAAAAGTTAATTTTTATTTTTTCAATGTTGTTTTTATTTAATTTTAAGTCGCTCAGAATATATATATAAAAGTTTGCCTATAATATGTAACTATTGTATAAATAAGTTATTAGATTGACTGCAGATAAATTGAAGCCAAATACTATTAATTAAACTTGCTCTGAGAGAGACGTAGTCCAGCTAGCTAAGGCTGCCTTTTCAGCTAGCGAGCGTACCTAGCTTGCTTCTTGTCACGAGAAGAAGGAACAATTGTCTTGAATGCTACGCTGGGATTATAGGGTTTAGGGTATAGGGTTTAGGGTTTATTCATATTTCCGTGTCGAGAAATCATGAACAAACTAGCGCGAGTGCAGACTGCAGCAAGAGTAGAGCATCTCGCAAATTCGGTTTGCGTCCTGCCTTTGAGTTGAGAAAAACAAAATGGGGGCTATTCTGTTCAAATTAAAGCGAAATAGATAAGGAAACTGTTGGTCTTTGAGCTCACACGATCACGCACATTCACAACCGCAAGGCCCACGCAAGTAGCGACTTTGGGCCGCGTCTTGCCTAACCGACCCCAGCCCACGTGGACGGGCCATGATCCAAAAGGCCTGGATTAGACACCAGAGAGCTAAACTATCTCGAGCTACTTGCCTACTACTCTTCTCATCTTCGAACCTAATACCAGTGACTATACATTCTCAAGCGTGTTTTGGTTGATAGTGAAAAGAGAGGAAGAAGAAGATACGTAAACCATTAACGTATAATCAATTAAATATAAATTATTTTAAACTTAAAAAATGAATTAACAAAATACATTATTTAACCGTTCGAAAAGTATATATGTACGTGAAAAAACAAGGTAAATTTTCTCTATTTGAGCTTCACTCTAGCGCAGGGCAACGTTGCATATTGCCAAAATGCCAATTAAGTCAACTAACAGTAATATTGTTGCAACAACAGAAACAAAGAAAAAAAAAGAAAAGAAAGATACTAGCTACTCTATTTATCCCAAAACATAAGAACCTACTTCATCTATCCCAAAAAAACAAAAATCTAAAACTGGAAGTGGCATATGATTCGTAGTATTAGGATATGCCATATCCTGTACTCCCTCCGTCCCATAATATAATGGATTTTGAGTTTTTGCTTGTACTGTTTGATCACTCGTCTTATTCAAAAAATTTGTGCAAATATAAAAAATGAAAAGTTACACTTAAAGTACTTTGGATAATAAAGTAAGTCACAAAAAAGTATATAATAATTCCAAAATTTTTTTAATAAGACGAGTGTCCAAAAAGTGCAAACAAAAACTCAAAATCTCTTATATTATGGGACGGAGGGAGTATTAGATTGGTATTTTATATGACGGATGGAGTATATTGGATATGACATGTCATAGTACTACTACTGTGAATCTGGACAGTGATATATCTTAGTACCATAAAACTGAACAGTCTCTGTTTAAATTCGTACAACTAGATTTTTATATTTTGGTGAGAATGAAGTACTCCTAGGAGAAATGTGGAAGTGCCCCCCTCACAAATGGACGGTAGTGTCTCAGATTAAAAGGACTGACATAGTAGGAGTCCAGACCGGTGGCGAGGCCAAATTATACGTCCAAATTTGCATTGCACATTGCAACTACTGGCTCTCGCTCAAACTCCAATGTTCAGCATCCATTCTCCAAATGATTGACGACTGATCAAGCCTCCCAAGTCCCAACTGTGTCTCACATCTGTAGAAGTGATACTGTATCTCAAGAGTCATCATTTTCGTGTCAGGCTTGGATGATTCCATCATGGCCTTCCATCTCCAAAGAAACGAGTAAATATCATTGCGATGGTAATACTGCAGCGTTCTCTTTTGTGTCACTGTCATCGTTTGCCAATGACTGCATGCTTCTGGTTGGACGCAATCATTCCTGGTATCATGGTTTATGGAAATGATGGGCATGGAAATTTCAGCATATATATAAGCTCCCTCCATAAATAAATAAATATAAAACTAATGACATATTATAATACAACGAATCTGTATATACTCCTGAACGGAGGGAGTAGAGTGTAGTGTTTGGTTTTGGTTTACTGGTCTCTAACCATTGTCTCTGGCTAGACCAAGCCAAAGAGATATCGTTCGGGTGATACTCTCGTATGGTCATATCCCAAAATAAGTTAGGGATCTTTTGTATAACGTAAGGTTGAGAAAACATAGGAGTAGGGAAAATAAACTCAAAAAATTGACAAAAAAAGAAAATTAAAAAAAAATGATTAGTTGGATAAACCATGTGAAAAAAGGAGGATATATAATTTACGTAAGGTTGAACCACATGTTATGTTTTATCTGAAACTCTCATGGATTGATGTATTCCATAGGATTTTCCATTTATTCAATAGTGTCCAATCTCCTTCGTTCCAAATGGCTAGGAAAAAAAAACACTATAGGTTCAAAATCCCAAAAGATCCTTTATTATCGCTTACTGCAAAAGAAACCTTAGGTAGCTCTATCATGTTTGATCTAAAGATAGTTTTCTTAACACGGCTAGCAAGATGTTGCCATCAGAAAACATATGCATGACTCAAACAACATGATATATAATCATCACTCTAAGCAAATATAAGCTATGTTCCGCGCACCCACCCGATAAAATGTTCACGATGCACCTTCTTCCAAATCCTCTCTAGCTAGTTATGCTAAATCCCTTCAACTTTCTTGGCCAAACCCCTTCTGAAATAACTAAGTTTAGGGCCCCTTTGAATTGGAGGATTGTTATAGGAATTTTGGAGGATTTAATTTCCTAAGGAATTTTTCCTATGAAACCCTTGATTCATAGGAAAGTATAGGAAATTTTCCTTAAGATTGTATTCCTATAGCTCAATTTCATAGGAAAATAAGCAAGAGGTTCAACCTCTTGGAAACTATCATTTGCTTTGTTTATTTCCTATGGTGCTATCAAAGGGACCCTCTTTATATTTCCTGTGTTTTTCATTCATGTAGGATTAGTAAAACATACCACTTCAATTCCTATATTTTTTCTATTCCTGTGTTTTTCCTATCCTGTGTTTGAAAGGGGCCCTTAGTTATGCCTTTATTAGACATAAAACATTACAGTGTTAGGCTAACCAAACAAGGCCATTTATCCTTCTCAACTATCAAGTGACCAAGATAGAAACAGAAAATGGATACATTGCTTTTCTATCAAGATGCCTGTTGTATTTTGACCAGAGAGATGTACACACAAATTAGGAAGAAAACATGAAGTGGTCCAAAACGAACTATAGGTGTACTGTAAGCATGCATTTGATGAGGAGGGGGTACAAAATTCTAATTCAAAACGACTCTTTCAAATACAGAGGATTGCTACGGTGAGAAAGGCCAGCAAAATTCCAAAAGGATCGAAACCGAAAAACCAAACCAGTTTAGCTTTTTAGTGGACACTTGGGACACTCGTCCCAAATGTTTCAGTTACTCCCTCCCATATCGTTTGACCCCGACTCGCCCATCACCGTCGAGTCGGCGATGAACGGACAGGATGGCGCGAGCCGAGCACCTCACTACCTCACTGACCCGCTCTCTCTTCTCTCATCTATATAGGCTGAGTTTGAAAAAGGGAAGATAGAGAAGATTGGGAAGATACGCAAAACGAGATGAGTAATTAATATATGATTAGTTGAGTATTAATTATTTTAAATTTCAAAAATAGATTAATATGATTTTTTAAAACAACTTTTCTATAGAAAATTTTTACAAAGAAACACACCCGTTTATTAGTTCGGGAAGAGCGCACGTTGAAAACGGAACAAACTATCTCACGATCTCACCGTTTAGTCCTTGATGCACCACCTTCTCCGACCTCTCTCTTTCCACCCTCAAAAGGCTCCCCAAAAGAGTCCTTTTCTCAGTGCTGAGGCAGTAGGAGGTAGGAGTAGGAGCTAGAAACGAGTGAAGCTCACTGCGGCTAGCTGCTGTCTTGTGTTGTGTTGTGTTGTGTGGCATGGAGACGTTCACCTTCCTCAAGTTCTTGCGCGGCGGCGCGGTTGCCGGCAACAAGGGCGGCGCCGTGGCGGCCACCACCATAGCCGCGTCGGCGTGCGAGGACGGCGGAGGTGGGGGTGGGGGTGGAGGTGGAGGAGGGGAGGTGGATGACGACGCGTCGTTCTTTGACCTGGAGTTCGCGGTGCCCGGCGACGAGAGTGCCGCGTCGGACGCGGAGGAGGAGAGGGTCGAGTTCAACTTCTCTGTCGCGGGGGATGTCGCGTCCGGCGGCGAGGTGGTGACCGTGGACGACGCGGTGGCGGTGGCGCCGGGTGGCGAGTGCGGAGAGGCGAAGGTGGTGGAGCTGGTCTCGGAGGCGGCGGCACCGCCGGCGTCGTTCCTCCGGCCGGCGACTAAGTTCCGCGTGCTGCTGCTGAAGCTCAGGAAGCCGAAGGTCCCTGTCCCGGCGGAATGTAACGGCGGCGGCGGCTCCCCGGCGCCGAAGACGAACCGTTTCTTGATCAAGTTCCGAGTGGACGACGCGCCCTTCGTCTCGCTCTTCACGCGCGACAACAGCTCTCGCACCTCCGACGCCGGCGCCGGCGCCGGCGCAGCCAGGCCGGCTGTGCAGGCGCTGCAGACTCCCGAGGCGGCGGCCATCACCGCCGAGGAACGGCGGTTCGCGAAGGAGATGCTGCTCAAGTACCTGAACAAGATCAAACCGCTTTACGTCAAGGTCTCCCGCCGCTACGGCGAGCGCCTCCGCTTCGCCAGCGCCAGCGAGGGCGAGGAGACGGACCTGGAGCCCGACCCCTCGCCGTCACCTTCCCCTTCCCCCTCCCCGGCGCCCACCCAGCCTCCTACCGCGGCGGCGGCGGCGGCGGTGGCCCCAGCGCCGCCGCAGCCGGTCGTCGTCGCCTGCGGCGTGCGCGCGCCCCGCGCCAGCGTGCCAGCCGGGCTGAAGCAGGTGTGCAAGCGCCTCGGCAAGAGCCGGTCCGCGTCCTCCGCAGTGGCCGCCGCGCCGTCCCCGTCGCTGCCGCCGCCGCCATCCACCGCCGGGCAGCAGCCGCAGCGCCGCGACGACTCGCTGCTGCAGCTGCAGGACGGCATCCAGAGCGCCATTGCTCACTGCAAGCGCTCCTTCAACGCCTCCAAAGGTAGCCATCACCACACCCCCCTCCATGGCCCACCTCCCAGTGACACTATCACGCAACGTAGTGACATCTCTCTCTGTAGTAGGGTCGGAGTCGCCATTGCTGCGGTCCATGAGCGACACGAGGGACGGCGGAAGGGCCGACACCAAGGACGGCGGCGGCGGTGACGGCGGCGCTTGACTCGGACCGGCCGATTCGCCGCTACGGACAAACGGTGATCGCCGTGCTCAAACCGTAGCTTAGACGCTAGTAGTATAATTAGTTGTTGATATCGAACACATGATGCCGTGATAAAAAAACGTGCATGTGTGCGGCTTGTCTCAACGTGGCAAAAGATTGTCTTTTTGGCCGCGATGAACTCCCATCTTGTTCCTATCTGTAATTTGCTCGCCGCCGTCTTAGCTCAATAATCTGGTAGTGCTAGCTTAGCAGTATGCATATGTAAAATATTTCCATCTCCCATGTGAAGTCGCTCTCTAGTAAATTGCTCCCTTTCTCGTAATCTCGGGAGTGTTGTTACATCTCTCACTTTCTTGCTCGTTTTTTTTCCCATCAGAATTTGTGCATGCGATGGGGTCATGTGGGGGGTGTAGGTAGGCATACCGTGTGACTTTGGTTGTCTTGTGTCAATATATCGTGTTGCTGAGAAAAGACGGCTGTGTCGGGGACGGGCAGCTTTACCACTATGCCTGCCGTGTGTGGAACTCGGGGGATAAAACCAAGCCCCGAGAGACAAAAGAAAAGCTGATTTTGCACCGGTGCTTTCCCCGTCCGGTTTGCACGCCCGAATCTCTGTTTCCGTTCGAGAAAAGGCGCCCGCGCCCCGCCCCAGCGACAGCCGCGACCAACACGTCGCGATCCGCCGCGCCCCCCCCCCCCCCCCCCCCCACCCTCCCTCAAAAAACATCCATCGTCTTTCTGTCAAGTCCGTCGCGGCACGAGGCACAGGCGGCCACCGCGGCGCAGCTCGGACTTTAACTGTAGTCTATGTAATAAAAACTAATTTGCGAGACAAATTTTTTAAGCCTAATTAATTTATAATTAGAGAATGTCTACTTTAGCATCACATAGGCTAATTAGGCTAATTATGGATTAATTAGGCTCAATAGATTTGTCTCATAAATTAGTCTAAGATTATGGATGAATTTTTATTAATAGTTTATGTTTAATATTTATAATTAATGTCCAAACTAGATCTAAACAGGTCTCAGCCTCGGCGTGCCGTGCCGTCGCGTCTGCCGGTGCTCGCGCCCGCGGGGTCTCTCCCGTCTCTCGCCTCGGTCGCCGCGAAAGGCGACAGCGCCGAGGCCACCCCACCCACGAACGTACGCGCGTGGATAGCGTCGGTGCCATCTCGTCACGGCGGGCGCGAGGCGACGACGCCGCGGGCGGCGGTGCGTGACGGGTGGCCGGCCTCTGCCCGGCCGGTGGCATGGGTGCTTCGGTGCGCGCGCACGTACGCTTGCGGGTTGGCGCGACGCGTAGCTGGGCATATTGCTACTACTACGACTCACTAGCGTACTGGAGTACACTACTACCGCCCGTGTAAATACAGCCACTGCACTGCAGCATGGGAGTGTATGCACACACTGTATACGCACATACGTACAACACGGGCGGTACGTGACAGAAGCTACACTACGTACCAGCCTACTACGACGTGGCGTCGACACGCCCCGGAGTTACTGCGGCCTGCGTCGGCATTGATTCGGGAAGTGGATCTACGGCGCCGGCTGTTAGAGCATGTACAATAGTATACTTATTAACCAGCTGCAAATATATTTTAATAAGATAAAAGATAAGAGAGAAAAGCAGCGGACTATAGATCTGTAGCCAGCTGCAGCACGGACTCTAAGACCTAATGTGCGTATAACAGGTAGGACTATATATTAATAATATAGTAAGCAAATATTGTGTAAATTTGACGGAGCGTGGAGCTCCTCACCGGGAGACCGCGCAGGCCCCCCTTTGCCGGTTCGGCCGGGGGCGCTAAGTGAGGTTCTTCGCCCTCGATCGATCACAAGACACGGGCGATGTAGACAGGTTCGGGCCGCTGAGAAGCGTAATACCCTACTCCTGTGTTCTGGTGGATATGTGTGTGAAGGAGTTACAAAGAGCCGGAGAGCCAGAGAGTTCAGGCTCCAGAACCCCTCTAGCCTCCTTTTTTCTTTTTTTTTCTCTCCCCTTTTGGTGGGCAAGGTCCTCCTTTTATATCTCAAAGGGATACCACATGCACCACTTCTACCTACTTTTCTTTTGGGTGGGGACCTACCCTATCTTGACCAAAACTTGGCTCGCGCCTTCGCCTGGAAGCTAAATCACAGCTTGTCCTTGAGTGAGGCCCAGCGCCATCACTCGCCTGACACAGGGGATAACCCTGTCATTCCTTCATTAATGGGTGGAGATTTGCAATGGCCGCTGTCCGAATGACCCTCCGATGGGATGGGTCATACCTACCTCCACTCCGCCGGAAGCAGATGCAACGTGGGAGCACGGTTGTCTGCCGATGACGTGACCGGCGTCAGACCAGTCACAGACCGGTCATTCTTGTCCACCGCATGTCAGTTTAGCATGCCGCACGTCTACCCTTCTTCATACAATGACTTCCTTGCCATGGTTGCGATGAAGCCTGGAATGAATCTGGCCGGGACTGACATACCAACTCCAGGAGTTAGCACACCGGCTCTGGCTAGGGACGAGTGCCTGGAGGCTCTCATCATTCCGACGGGACGGGGCGAGGCGTGTGTCAGGCCGCATGTTGCCACCTAACCCGTGATCTGACCGGTCTGTGACCGGTCACACACTGTGACCTGTCACGGACCGAACGAGTGTGCTGTGCTGCATTAAATGCGGCGTGGGGCGCTCGTCCAACCCGCAATAAACGCGGTTAGGTGAGCGCCGTTGTGCTCACCTAACCCACACACGTGGCGCCAAACCCACAGGGGGTCGGGGCGCCCCAGTCCTCGGGGCCGAAACGGGAGCGGCCCGACCCCTCGGGGAGACAGAGGGAGGGGCGGCCACACCACCCTTGGGCCCGACCCCCCCCCCCCCCCGAGGGGGTCAGGCCACGTGGGTGACTGCAGCTGCCCCAAACCTCTAGTCAAGATACCCCCGGTCCCATGTCACCGACAAAATTAGCTATAGATGAATTAGAACCTAGTGAGCTATACTATTAAACTTGCTCTTAAGCCTTTTTGGACGTACCATACGTCTTCACCCTCCCTCGGAAGCTTGCACATTCGTTGCCGTGGGCCATGTCCGTCAGCCTGACGCAGGCATCCACTCGCTCATTAACCGCATTGACTTTCTTAGATCTCTAGTAGATGAGTGAAGCATAGACTAATCACTGCACTTTAGATAATGTCAGAATAGCATAAACGTGAACCGTATCCACCGATCCACGAGTCGGGGAATCCAATGCCGCGAGCAACGCAAGCGCTAGCCTTCCTAGTCCGTGTCCACCGATGATGGAGTGGTTATCTGTTTCACCGCTCGTCCGATCCGAGCCGAAGTTAAAGCTGCTGCAGCACCGGCCAGTTGAGCATTTACCACAGCACGTCCACCGCAATTCATTCCGTCGCCATGGCCGTGGGCTCCGTGCATCCACCATCCACCCGTCTCGCTCAGAGGACGCGTGATTTTATTCCATCCCTCTTGCATTGCACCAATCAAGCGCCTAATAAACACTGTTAGTAGACAAGCGCCGCGTCGGTCCCAGCGGGAGAATATTATTAGCGGGCGATGCATACGGCCAAGGTAGGCACACAGATGAGACGAGCACGGTACGTACGTGAGGGAGACCCGACGGCCTGGTGGTGGCTCGCCGCCGCGGCTGGACCAGCTGATAGCGCGCGTGCCTGCTGGTGCCAAGGCCGGAGGCGCGTACGTACCCGCCTGAATCATTTGCTACTACAGGCGAATAGGCGATCGACCGGTAGTCGTCGTGTGTGCCCCTCTTGGCATGTGATGTGTTCGCCGCGTCGAGCTCCTTGGTTGGCATGCATGGCGCGCGCGCGCGCGATGGGTGGTTACGGCACGGTGTGTGTGTGTGTGCGCGCGTGCAGTACGCGCGCGCCGCGGGGAGGGACCGAGGGAGGGAGGGAGGGACGCGTACGAAGGCTAAAGCCAAGACGGCAACGACGACACGACGACGCGTTGGAAAGCATGCCGGGAATGCCGTGACGGGATGGTTTGATTATAACTAGCTGGGTGGCCCGAGTAATTACGCGGCTAGCACCCATATAAAATTATATATATTTTTAATATGATTTTACTTAAAATTTATTAAATAGTTCTCTCGTTGTCTTAAGATTTTAAAATACCAAACCTTATTATCCTCGTGGTTCTAATTTTGTAGTTTTTAAAAGACACATCAGTTGCTACCCTTGCTTCTGTTATATTATTTTCTATTAGCTTTCTCGATCTACCATTCTCCTTATAACCTTCATCTAAAAACTTATATTTTTTAGAGTTTATTGTCCTGTTGGGATTCTTTTTTATAATTTTTAGAAGTCTCGTCAAACGCTGCTATTATACTCCTCTACAACCGTCCACTGTATCTTCTCTTTATTGTTATTGTTATTTTAAAAATCGAACATAATTATTGTTTAGCTTCATTTTTTTACTTTCTAGAAGTTCCGCCAAAATGTTAGCGACTTTGTCTATCTACTCCTCTACAGCTCGCTCGCTGCCGCCTTTCTTTAATGTCATTGAGATTTTAAAATCAAACATCATTATCGTTGGGGATTTTTTTTACTTTTTAGAAGCCTGAACTTTTAAAAATTGAACCTTATAGTTTTTAGAGTTTTATTGTCTTGTTGGGTTTTATGTTTTTTATAATTTTTAGAAATCCCGTCAAACGCTGCCACTTTACTCCTCTAGAAGACCCACCAACCATCAGCGGTCTACCATTATACTCCTATACGACCCGCCCGCTGCGTCTCATTTTTACCGTAATTGAGATTTTAAAAATCAAATATGATTATCATTAGAGTTTATTTTTTTACTTTCTAGAAGTCCCCGCCAACCGCCTTGACAGATAGCTTCACGACCTACCCGTCGTCCTTCCTTTTAATCGTCATTAGAATTCTATTTGGTCATTTATTAATAGTTTTTTAGATGTCTCATCAACCGCCACCTCTCTGCTCCTTTATAGGCCTGTTATTTAATTAATCTCGTCATGTGTTTTAGATGGTCTTTTCTTTCATTTGTCTTATTTTTTATCACCGATTTTAGTTATTTATAAATTGTATTCCTAGTTGAAATCTTTTTTTTTCTAATTTCAGAATTTATTTTATTTATTATTATGTTCTTTTGATATTCTTATTTTTTATTTTTTATTTAATTGTTTCAAAATTGTATTCCTACTTTAACTCTCTTTTTAATTTGCCTAATTTCGGATTTTATTTTATTTTTATTCCGAATTTTAATTAATCTATTATTGGGTTCTTATATGTACTCTCATTTCAATATTTCTTATATTTAATTCTGAATTTAAGTTAATTTTAAATTGTATTTCTACTT